TTGTGTAGCGTGTATATCTAGTCAGACGCACTTAGGTGGCATACGTAGTAACGGCTAAGAGTAACTGTTCACTACAGGCGAGGTGCTCGTAGGCGAACTGCACGCTCTTCAAAGTACGCAGTAGGGCGAACCGAAGACGTTCCGCATGCAGTGGTTGAGGCGCTTCGCTGTTCTTTCGCTGTTTAACGCGTTGGCTTAAATCATATCCTTCCCCCTAACGTGGAAACGCCATCATAGGGGATGCCACCTTACCATAATTAGTGATGATCTTCTACAAGGATACAGATAATCAAAGAAAATGTCCGAAGCTAGCCCCAAAGAGTGGCAGCAACGTAGCTGCAAAGAGGGGCAACTAAAGGAGACTGTTGTTCTCGAGACATGTGTTAAGAAGCGTGGCGGTCACAAAAAGCAGTTCACTTTACACAGCCAGGAGATCGACACCCCAAGTGGGTTTCTAAGCTTGTCTTATGCGAAGCAGTTCTTCACCAGCATCTACACCCTCTACGCAACTCATTTGCAGCCACCTGCAAGCGTGGGCATGAGCAGAGTCACTGAAAGTTAGGCCGCGTGGAACAGTTTGGTGGCAGTTGCTAGTTCGCGGCCACAGAAAAAAAGCGTTAAAAAGAGTTTCTCAGAGAAGGGCATACTCTTCACTGGGAAACCTCTTCCTAACGCTATTGACTCTGTTGCATAGTGCGGCAATCCCCAGCTAAAGTCGAAGTCTCCCACCGAAAGAGACTTACCCGCTATCTACAGCACATGCCTCGCTAAGTTTTGGGGGAGTGAATTTCTTTTTGTTGCATGTGGCTGCCTTGCTACACTCGGGGGGGAGATGCTCTTTCGAGGGGAATGCTAAGGGCTAGAGACTAGGGTTTAAAAAAAAAGAAAACTTATGCAGCAGAGCGAGAAAAACAACTCGCAAGAAATTTAGTTGGCAGCAAAAGGAGGGAAAGGTGGGGCAAAAACTCCTCGAAGGCAATCCCCCACGATAAGGGAGATGATATTCGGGTGTATAGATACTTCACTGCAGCCACGCCGCTTGTAGCTCCTACCATGCATCGCAAAGCATGCAGCAGCAGCTGCTGCTCCTCCTCTCTCTCGTCGTGCAGCTCTGCTTTGTTTTTAGGAGCTGCTGCCGTACAAGACATTAAAAGCAGCAGCTGCAGCAGCAGGATTCGCGCTCCTGCTGCTGCTTCCGTTTCTGCTGCCGTATGCTCTGCTGCTGCTACTTCGAGTGTGCACGTCTTAGCAGTTACAGCTGCAGCTCCAGCAGCAAATGCTGCATGCAAGTGAGCGCCAGCAGCGGCAGCAGAGAGCCCTGTCCCCACCCTTAAAAGCCCCTTGACGAATGCCATATACCCAACCAGCGCCCCGCAGCAGCACAGCAGAATCAGCTGCTGCACTGGAAATTTGCTGGGGTCCCTGTGGAGCCAAAAGCCAGCATGCTCGCTCATCTTTGCTGCTGCTGTTGCCATATCAATAGCCTGTCCTAGGGCCAGCAGCAGAACAGGGGGCAGAAGGAGCATCCCCCCACTTCTCATCCCGAGTCGGCCCCGAGACCAACGCACTTCTGCAGCAGCAGCAGATGCTGCAGCAAGAAAGATGCAGCCACAAACTGCTGTTTCAGTTGCACCCCAAGCAGCGAGGCAAGAAGCTGGTTCCGTTGGGGGGCCCTTGAGTTCAAGTAGAACGGATACCAACATTTTGGTGGCAACAACAGAAGCAACAAGGCTGATCCTCTTGCATTACTTTAGCAGTTATTGTAGACAAAGACCTCGTGTCTCCTTTCCGGTGTGTCTGTAAGCCGGTTTGGCTTTCTACTCTCCATGCTCTTAACTTTGATTGCCGCTGTATGTTTTTGTCTTCTTTTGAGGTATTCGTTCATCTGAATGACTCTCTTTGCTCCTGTTATTCTCCTTCCGGGAGCACACGGTGTACAGACAACAACTGTTGCTGTCTGTACACTGGCATCTGTTGCCTCCTTAGGTGCGTTTTGTTAGGAGGAACAGCAGCTTTGGCTTGCTGTATAATTGCTGTATAAAAGGGTAAGCCCACTGGTCTTCTTAGGGCATATCTCTGCTTCTCTGCTAGACATTGCCTTTAAATTCAAAAAGATGATTTATTTCGATTCAATTAAATATACTATTTCTTTAATTTCACCTGCAGAGAACATACTTGCTCGAGGTCTTCGGGGGGTGATATCGACAGGCATATCACAAAGAAAGGAGAAAAACA